CGAAGCGTTTTTTCCCCCCCCCCCCCCTCCCCTTCGAAATGACGTCCCTGGTGGTGACATGTGCGATATGAGAGTGGAATTGCCCCGCCGCAGAGCTACACCCTTGGATGAGGTCATCCTTTTAAATTTACTTTAGTCGAGCTTGCTCTTCGATAGTTGGTAACAGCTTCACAGTTCATTACTGAAGATGTAGGTATTCATTTTTTGATGTGGGTCAAGGACTGCCATTGCATGAGCCAGTGGGTGAAAGTTACATCTAAAAAATGGTTATGCTGCTGGAATTCTTAATTCGGTGGAGAGATGGAAGGAGTGCGCAATGGTTAAGGGTGATGATTTTGAAAAGTTAGAAGGAGAATGTAAGTAATAAAAAAAAAGTTCAGATTTAGGCGTGACATTTAATAAATTCTGGGAACGTTTCAGCCTCTCCTCGTCGACTGAGAATTCACAGCGCTTTGCCTTCTCAGAACGAGGAGGGAATCGAGAGAAGACCGGAGAAGACGAGACACAGGAAGACACTCGCACAGGTCACCAGTCCAGACAGGGTTTCATTTACTCTTTCACATTCATCGTGGCTTTATGATTGAATATTTTTACGAAATAAACTATTATATTCCCATACTTGGGTTGACCTATGTCTATGCCAACTTTTACCGCACAACTTTCCGTAGTTACGGTTAATTTTTGGAACAACAATCTTGAACAAAATATTGACTTTACTAATGGTTCTAGTGAGATATATGTCACTTAAAAATCAATGCCATGCCTGGTTACTGTGCCACATATGAAAGTTGCGAATTTCATCACTGAACTCTCGGTTTCCAAGAACTTCAAATACACCAATTGGGTTTTTTTTGTGGCAGCCATTCAAAGGGCAAAACCGATTCTTCCACTCGTTCAGATACGATGCGGGAAGAAAGAGATACAGTTATAGAATGAGAAACTGAGTCTCCCTGACTGTGTGAGAAAAGGCTTTTGATATTTTCTTTATCCCTTCCAACCACCCTTCGCCATACAAGGTATAATGACCCAGAAACAGCCGCACTAGACATCCTCCGAAAGTAATTTCTGGCTACGTCATCACATGGAGCTGCCATTACATTCTCCAGATGAAAGTACGGTAAAATAGGAAAAAAAGAAAGTTAGAAATGTATTTGCCCTGGCTCACCCCACTCGTTTTCCTTTTCTCTTCATATACAATACGTGTATCATGGAGGCTCCAAAGAGATAACGAGGCGAGGGCCCTTTGCCCCTTCTCAATGACCCGGAAAACCCGATATCCCCCCTTCTGTCTATCTTAGCTCTCAGTGTCAACTTCACTACATAGTATCTCAATGGGTGACGTTGATCTCTATACACTACCCGATAAGTCACCGAAGCTCTGGGTTTCCTTTTTCTTGCGCCCGTTCGATATAAATTTCTTCCGGAGGCAATCACCCAGAAATACCTCTTAGGAACAGAGATGAATCCCAGGGCTTCCCATTTCCACTTCATTCATCAAGGTCCGGGCTCGCCCTTTGTTTTTTTTTGTACCAAAAGCGCATTTTTTTCCTCTGTTTTATCTATGAGGTCTTGGGGTACAGAAAATAGGAGAAAGATAAGATATTAGAGAAAAACAGTACAAATTGAGTCTGTTAGCAATCCCCCTTGAAATGACTTGTTTCTGCAAGGGTAGCCCATGCATATGACTGCTAAGCCCCATAGAGATTATACCTTCAATGATGTTCTAGCAGCATCAACCCTGCACATTACATTAGAATGCTCAACCTATGCAGTGAAACCTGCGTTCACCTGCAATAATTCAAGAATGAAATCCAAGATTGCCAACACTGTTCTTTTATTTTGAAGAAAATCTTCCCCGATATTCAGACGATAAGATCTCACGTCCGAGATCAACTGTGTGATCAAACACAAATAGGTTCTGAAGAATCCAACAGGTTGAAATAATTGAGATGGCTGAATGCCCAAACGTTGTCCTTGACTAGAGCATCATGAGCAGTATTTGTTCCTCTTCCATATCCAATTTCAAGCCACTTTCTCTGAGCCCTATGGAAAAGAATATATTTAACAGCATCTAACCTGAACACATTGAGAGATGGTGAAAGGAAACATTTACCTTGGGCTTCCATGTGAAATAGTCATCACGAGTGGCAGCAACGTACTCATCAACGAGCTCCTGGACGACCTCCCGGGAATTGTCCAGCTCTTCCAGGCTATCTTTGAACATGGGCTCCTTCTTGAAAGGCTCAAGGAAAGCTTCACGCTTACGAAGTTTGTCAAACTGGATCAAGCCGGACTGGAACAGCTGTAATGCAAGCATTTGCATTGGGTGGAGTGAAGTGATGATCCTTTGATCCTATCTCAGGTAAAGCATTTTGTTGCATGTCTTACAGATGAAATGCTGGTATGGTTGGCAAGCATGAGCCCACTGACACGATGAGCAGTCTGAATGTATGGGGATTTGCGACTGAGAGCAACCTGGACTGATGCTGGACCCCATGTGATGAACTGGGCAAGCTTCCTTTCTCGAATTCGTTGCAAGCTTTTGTACACTTGTCTTGGATCAACATCATCTGCCTGTGCAACACATGACTACTCCTGTTATGCCGATCCCGAAGATAAGTGGAGCTGTACACTTGACCAGATCACTTCTCAAGAATACAGTACTTCTTCATGCTTCATTAACAGTGGGCAAGAGTATAAATTCCAACAGCTTTCTCATGGACAACATGAAGTATGTTAATCTGTAACATTCAGCACCTGTTTGTAGTCATCTGATGGGCAGGTGTGTGTGGTTGCTGTATAACAGTGCTGCCTGTAAATAGATGTGTAATTATTTATGTGTTGAGGTAAGGGGTTAGGGTAGCAAATTGAGGACACTGACTCATGGGTTGAAACAGTGTTGTCCCCACAGACAAGTGAGTTGTGTGCAAGTGTTTCTCCGTTATTTCCATCCACTTGTGCAACACGGAAAACAGATTTTCACCCTTGGTCAAGAATGGCTTTGAGGTGGTTAAATGCCAATTAATTTCTATAGAACTTGCCAAAGGAAAGTTGGGAAAAAAAAAACAAACAGTGATGGGATTCACAACTCAAACAAAAACATAAAAATGTGTCATATATGACCTGAATGATATTGAGGATGGCAATGTAGACATGGCTTATGTTCCTGTCACCAGAGCCAGTTGAGACCATCATGTTCTTGGGCTGAAGTAAGCGACGCATCACATCCAGTACTGTGGTCTTCTGGACTGCCACCCTCTGCAAATCAATTTCATTTTTCATCTCCAGTAAAAAAAATAAACATTAAACATGAGACAGGCTGGAGGGCTACCTCATTTTCTGCTGTAAGAGGTGTGTATCCAGTCATCAAAAAATGGAGCTTTGGGGTGGGAATCAAGGGAGCAATGAGCCCAATCAAGTCATTATTCATGTATGATGGATACCTGGTTTAGGAATAAGCACAGATATATTCAGGTCATACTGTCAATAGTCATACCAAAGTAATGAGACCAATTGACTTCATACTTACCTGAGAGTGGCAGTGCTGGCTGACATGATGGTTGACACAAGGTTATTGATCTGTGCAAAGGAGGGATTTTGAATGTGGAGTCTATCTACTGCAATGCGATCCAGGGCAGTGTTGTCAAGAATAACCACACAATCTGCATGTTGAGTCAACCGCTTCAGGGTTAACAGGGAGTTGTAGGGCTGAACCACAACATCGCTACAAATAATTAAAAGCAAAAGATACAGGATTCAAGAATTTGTAGCAAATGGGCATGTTTATTCAGTGCCAAAATTCACCTGGTCTCCTTCTGATTGGGAAACACCGAGTAGGTTTGGACTAACTTCTTGGGAAAGCGATCATTGAGCCGTTCAAGCAGAAATGAGCCTAGGCCTGATCCAGTTCCTCCAGCTATTGAATGGCAGAGGACAAAACCCTATCCACAAATTTAAGACAGAATTTCTCAGTTATCATTTGCAATGATGACTCATTAATGATAAAAAGATACAGACCTCAAGGGAATCACTGCTCTCTGCTTCTCGATCTATTATATCAAACACTTCTTCACTAAGCTTTGTCCCCTGGGAATATCCAGAAGCCCAGTTGTTTCCTGCTCCCCCACCATGCTTTGAGAGGTAGATATTTTCTGGGTTGTACAGCTGAGGAAAAAGATAGATTTATATTATAAATCTGTTTTGTCATTGCAAAATAAAAAAAGTCAACAATGCTATAACCTTGGCATAAGGTGAATTCATAATGGTATTAATGACCCGAGGCTCCAGGTCCAGGAGAACAGATCGTGGGATGTAGTGTTCATCATCAGCCTAAAACCCAAGAGTCAGTCAAGTTTTTCCAATACATAGAAAAGGAAGAGACATCAACTCATTGTCTTGCACCTGATAAAAGAAGACATCTTTGCGATCAACACCTTCAGTGGCAAATTCTTCAAGGATCCCCTCCTTGTTGATGCCATGTTCTGCACAGAGTTTCTTCCAGAACTCAAAGCCAATCTGGTTGCCACACTGGCCCAACTGAAGCATAATCATCTCACAAGGCATTTTGGCACGCCTTCAACAATTTCTTCGTTTTTGCTAGAAATAAAGAAATGCTAATCTGCAAAAAAAAAGGAGAAAACTCAGAGAATGCAATAATATCATGGTGACAGAGTACATAATAAAGGTAAAATGAATTAAGGATAATGCTTTTTTTTTCAACCCTTCAAGCAGTTTTCAAGTACACTGTACAATCATCACTTAGGAGGTCAGGTCAAAACTCAGAGCTTGAAGGGTTAAATAAAATACAATGGGAAAGAAGAGGCCTGAGAGCATCAGAGACATCTCAACCTCAGGCAGCTCTGCTTGAGGCTCTCCATGAGAACTTTGAGAACTCCAGTGAGATATAATGATAAAAAAGAAAAGTATCATATTTATTCTAACTTCTGAAGCACAAGCAAAAATTTTATCAATTTTCAGTAGGATCAAAGTCAGCAACTTTCACTTCCAGGTCCTCACCATACTGAATTGTATTGTCAATAGTGGTCAGCACATCCATGACACTATCTTCATCAGTGATGTCAAGTGGCACAAATTGTACAAGACTGTAGTCTTCTATGAGGTGTCCAAGTGCTTCAGTTAGTTGGTGATGCTTTTCATCCCATGCTAACTCTTGACTTCCTGTCAGCAATTGTTGCACATCTGGTTCCAAAAACCTATATTCAGAAATAAGGAATAAAATATGAAAGAAGCAAAGTCACAAGGCATTCAGTCTATTAATGGTAATGGTCTAAAATACCTTACAAGATTGGAATAAGAGACAAATGGAATCATCCTGTCAAATGGAATCACTTGAGACAGATTTTTCCACAATTATATAACCCTTCTTGAAAATGAGAGAAGAGGTATTTGGCAATCAATCCGTAGAAGATGCTGACAGGATAATTGAATTTCTGCATCTTTTGAAAGCTTGGATAGGCCTAGAGTCCCACCTAACGCTATAACATAGTTATTTGGGAGACATAATTCTCCCTTGAATTCCAGTCCAGACAATTTAATCTCATTCAAAAGGGCATACTAAAATGGCTCAATGACACTAAAAAATTAGACTGTACTTATGTCAATATTAATCAAAAAGGAACAAACTGAAAATGTATCTGGAAAGTACTAAAATTGAAATCACTAGCAGTCACTCAGGGTGTTTTACCAGACAACTAACACTGGCCAAACAAATAAAAAACATGTATATTTCTTTCTTACAATTCATAATATGCAATTTGGAAACTGTGCAAATAAAATTATCTGCCTCATAGTTGGACAGTAAGAAAAAGGTGTGAAGCTGTGAGAGGGTATGCTGGAGGTGATAGAAGGGGTGGAATGAGAACTGGTGTCTTGACTTCCTGTCAGTTAATCAGACAAGATCAATCTGGCCTCAGCATATGCATAAGTCCTATGTGTGATACACAAGTCTGTCAACTCATCATTTGCCCCTCCCTTCATTTTCTTGCCATATTTCTGCAACTGGACTGCTTATAAAGGGTGGTGCACAAAATAGACTCAACTGACATGGAAAGCTTTATATTAATATTTCTGGAAATTACATAAATTAAGAGCTAGTGGGGATCCCTTCAAATCCCTTCAAGATTTGCCATCTCTTGATAACATTTCCACAAGCTGGCAATTATGGGAGAAAAGATTTGAGTAGTTACTCAAAGATGGCAGTGTAGCTCTTCTGGTTACCAAGCACAGCAATGTGGTGCTTGGTAGAAAACCTTGGGTCTCCATACTCCTGGATCAAAGATTGCAAGTGTTCATACCTAATTTTAAAGGCATGTTTACAAACTCATAAATGTACTTTCTACAAATGAAAAAACATTTCTGGTCAAAGTAATACCAGTTTTCTATACAAGGAGGAAGGCTAAATATTGTGTCACCCTGAATTTTCTTTTTTCTCCTCTGAATTGAAGGAGGAATCTCTCAAATTGCAAAAATTCATTTAGCATGAAAGCAGGAAAGATCAAGACATGGACACCTTGAATAAATAAACAGCAATTTCCTCATGAGCAATTGTTTATAAGTCAGTCCTGAAGTTGCAAGGAGACTTGAGACTTAGGGTGTTTTCTCTTATACTAAGAATTTGAACACTTCAAAGGTCAAAATGCTATAAGTGTGTATGTACTGCAACATGCTGTTCTCATTATTAAGCAGTGTCAAAGGTTAGATTTTACATGGACAGAAATCTCATTTCAGCCCTGATGACTTAGGAAGGTATCAACATTTAAAACTCTCTTGGAGGAAATTTGACCCTTTATCTTGGCTTTCATTCATTGGGGAATTCGTTAGGATTCACGAGGTTGTCAAACATTTGATATGACTATGACAACAAGTTTCTCATGACTGACACAACTTCAAGCATCTCTAGTTAGGGCAGATTGGAAAGTAAAAAAAAATTAAGTTCAGAAGTGGCTCTCAATCCATTTGGTTGTTGTAGTATAAATGCAAGCAAAATTAAGCAATGAACAAACAGTAATACCTCCCCCTCCTCCCCTTGAAAACTTATGTCCTTACTTTGTGGGGTTAAGTGGAATACAATCATTAGTTGAGGTGGACAGAGTCCCCAAAAAGAAATTATTAGCCTAAAAAGTCCTAACTTCTTTTCTGAAGAATTTTTAAAAACCTTTATTGGATTTTGGAGACACTGTGACCAGCATTTAAAAAAATTACATTCCATCCTAAGGTCTAAAATATATATTTTAAAGTGGATTTTTAGCTGTCCAGAAGCAAGCAGGAAGCTCCATCCAAAACCATATACAGTTTTGAAGCCACAAAATTAAATTATACCAAGCGAAGTTGATGAAATACTGAAAAATTCACTCAGAGATTTCAGACTTTTGGAATGTATGAGGCCCAAAGTCAACACCAAATTTGATGTCAAGTACAGTAAATCTCTAAATATTTTGCCAATTACAAATTTCCTTTCAAAAGCATTCTACATGTTCATGAAAATCTTTTACAATAGTTTGAAAATAAGGTAGGATTAAGGGTTAATGAATAGAGGAAAGACTGATGGTTTTTACTGCCTCAGCCTATATCTAAGTGTGTCCAATTAAAATGGAAACGAGTCAGTTGAGTCTTTTTATTTATTTTGTCTCTTGCTTTAGCATGCTTCCTATCTAAGCTATTTTTTTATGGTCTCCCACCTCAGAAGACTGGAAATGCTTTTCACCTTTCCATAGACCAATTACAAAATACAAAACTGCTCCAGACTGCACCAAGCATAGCAGGAATTCTATAGTACATTGTATGAGGTGAAACTACTAGACACAGACCAATGGAAAGAATCTGCAGGTCAAGTTTACTCAAGTCATGGTAGAAAATGAAAGTGGAATAGCAGCAGATTCTGCAGTGGGAGATCCCACATTTGCAGCCATAAGCAGCCCCATTCTTGAAATAAGGTATCATCTACTCCATGAGGACACTACAACTGGAGCTTCAACTATATCAGTTGAATTTCCAATTTGTGTAGCATTGTAGCAGTTGCTTCATGAATTCACAAATCATTGATGGACTTACTTGGCAATCTGCTTCTTAGCTCCTGTTGTAAGAAGATCCATTTTAGAGAGGATGTTGACATGAGGAACCTCAAGGTTTACCATGACACTCAATGCTGTCAATGTGCCAGAGATAAACTTACTTCCTTCAATCATGAAGTTTGAATCCATCAAAAACACTGCACATACTCTGAAACCAGAAAGCAGCAATTTCACGGTATAGAGAAACATTGTCTGAATTATAAAGTTAACTCACATGTAATAAATGACTGGAGGTTGAACCTGAAATTCCAATTGTGTAACAATGAGATGAGACGCCTCATGACAGTCATGTGAGTGTACAATTCTATTTGTCCAGGGCAGTCAAAAAGGATGTAGTCATCCTCATCTTCCCCCAGGGCTTCTTGCAACCATTCTTGATTTTCCAGGAGGTACCTGTACAGATGAGTATGAACAAGACTTAAACTCACACTATAAGTATATGTCACTAGATCCATTCCTAGGCCATTTGATGCCCCAAGCCTGGCATCAGACCAAGACCTTTTTCATCCTATACAACCATAAAGTGCACACCCAATGGAACATGGGCAATAACAAAAGCCATGATCCATGATGTTGATCAGATGCTCTCCTTCCCCTCCCTCCAAAATAAAAACTGTTAGAGCCTCTTTCATCCCAGGGCAAATTTCCAGTTGAAATGGGGAAAAGCCACAAACAGGTTCATATCAGATCAAAACCAAACCAAATTCATTCACAGGCTGAGGCCTGTAGCCTTAACTCACTCAAGGCAGAAGATCAAGCCCCCATTGGGTCCAAAGTGCAGTTCTGGGTCTTCCATGACATCATCCACCTGAATCAATTCTCGTACATCAATCAGGGGACTGTATGAGAAATTTTCAGCAGCTGGATCAAGATTCACCACCTGTATTGTCCTCTTGATGGATTCTCCATGGGTCACCAGTGTTGAGCAATATGTTGACTATGATATCAAATGAGCAAAATAAAAAAAACATACATTGTAGGCCAAAGCTAAAAAATAAACAAATCCACAAGTTCAAAAACTAATGAGCTGAACATCATACTGGGTTGCTTCAGCTCCCTAGTCCTTGATAGTGTCTCATTGTCAGGCTTTGACTTTCTCCAGTAGGATCATAAATACTCAGGCATGACTCTTGCCTTTTTACAGGAATTAAGTTTTTTAAATCCTTAGCCTGAACCCTATAAAAACTCTAAGCTGCTACATTTTCCAGCTGCAACAAAATCAGACTAACAATGTCTGATATTTGGCTCATGGAAGCTCTAATAACAAAAACCTAATATAGTGAAGTCCTATTCAAATTTTTCCCCTTAAGGTGTCTCATAGTACTTTTGGCTACAGCAGATCCTGATACAGACATAGTTCTGGCTTGACATGTCATTGGATTTCTAATGCTCTTATCGACATCCTACTTCGTGCAAAAAAAAGTAAAAGAATAATTACAAAAAGAGCAAATATTCACTGATATTACTAACATTAGCAGATACCTGCAGCTGATAAAATTAATTTAAGCCTGACTGCTTATGCAGAATTCTACATATCCATTTCAATGAGACAAAGACCAACGTTTAGAAAAATTAAGCCAATCTTCTTCTCAGAATTAGTATCTAAAGCTACAAGGATGTCTACTAAAGTAAAGGGACAAATATGCTTATTGGACATAAGCCAATGTGAGATACATGCAAATGAACTTGAACAAGATTGCTTCCCTAAATACCCTTTCATAATTAGCATGTAGTTTTTGCAACAGGCAAAAAGGCAGCTGTAATGTAAATGCACCTCCTCATCACCATTGAAATGTTGCACTTGGAAGACTACTCCACAGGTTTTGCAGATGAAATTCATAAGTCAGAAGGTGCAGACTGCATTTCCATGAGGTATCACCTCCCACCAAAATTTCTGAATAATGGTGTCACATGTTGCAGGTGCAGAATGTGGTTTTCTACAATCACACTACAGTTGTATGCCACATGTCAACAGGCCAAGTTTATTGCGAATAAGCAGGTTTCAATTCATTATGCAGCATTTTACAATCAAACAACCCCAACAGTAGTGCTCTGCACAAATTTTTACTGAGCCTATTCAGTTCAATCCAAAAACCACTGCAATTACCTGCCTCTTGGAACCTTTTAATCAACACACCAGTGATATTTGGCTCTAATGTCATTTCATAGGATGGGTCAATTGCAGCCTAATGGGATATAAAAATGCTGAGATAACACTACTGATGAAGGGGACGGCATTACATTCCTGTGTCTGGGGCAAAGAGTTATAGTTGTTTGTCTCGCCTTTTGGATACCCCGTAGTATTTGTACATCAGGTTAAGCTCAGACTTGGATCTGTTGATCCGGTTGGTAAGCTTATGATAATTGTGTAGATCTAGGTTGAAGACTAGACTTAAATCTACTTATATACATCTTAAGAATAAGCATTTGATAAACCCGAGTTTAAGTCCATTACCTTGCCACTTCCGGCGGGGCCCATGACCAACTGTGCATACCTCATTCTTGACGTCAACAACACAAATTCGAGCTAATGAAAATCATATTCATGCTAATTTGCATATTAACAAATATATATGACGGAATCCATGGAAAAGAGCCCAGAAGGACCTAACGAACGACACACAAGCAAAGATCACGCGGCCACGAGCAGCGCGCCATCCCCATTCACAGATGTCGAATGAGCCTGAGAAGACAAAGGTAGTTCCGATGAGAAGGGTAAAAAAGGTGTGATTAAAATGAAGTCGCCATTTTGCAAATATTCACAAGCCTTATCTTAATGTATTGCATTTCTAATATACACAGAAACTAAGTGTTCCAAAAAATAAATATATAGAATCCCGAGAACATTGAACATCCTGCATCCAAGGTGGATTCTCTCAGTACTACGAGGACTGCATCAAGGCGAGGTGTTGTGTTGATCCTTGAGAATTTGAAAATTGGTTCTTGAAAACGTGATGGCCAGAAGAATATTGGACTTCCTTTCTTGCATGTGTGGGAAGTATGTTGTGAGAATCAACGGTAAAACTTACGTGAGACGAGAAACTATTGGCGAAGGGTGAGTATCAAATCAAACTTGTTTCTTTAGCTAAACCATTTCTAATGCAGGAGCTTGTATCACCTTGGACTGAAAAGATCCGTCTGACGTACATTTATATTACTGCAATCGCAAAAGTCTGACTGAGTATTGCGATTGTCTTGTCAGGGGCTTCAGTACTGTAGACCTTGTGGAAGAAGAAGGAACACGGCAGAAATTTGCCTTGAAGCAAATAATTTGTCACAGCGTGGAAGATGAAAGGGTTGCCCTGACAGAAGTGGATAATATGAGAAAGTTTCAGCATCCCAACGTAATTTCTTATGTGGATCATGATGTTCATCAGCGCCGAGATGGCAGAAAGGAGTTCCTCATCCTTCTTCCATACTATCCAGTAAGTACGCAATGAACTCTTTGTTAATAACTGTGGATTCTTATCCAGCATTTCTATTGCTCCAGGTTTAGGCTCAGCAGACCACTTTGCTGTCACCTTTAATATTGATCTCCTTGAGCTGCTTCTGCAACCCTTTATTTAATTAAGCATGGCCCTCTGGAAGTTTTTTTGCTTGCAACACCTCTGTTTTCCATCAGACCTTGGCCCAGCTTCATCAACTATAATGTTATGATGGACATTCCAGGTGACACCTGTACCTGTAAAGACTCCTCCCAGAACTTATTTGATGTAATTCATTGCAATATCCCTACCAGGACTTCTTGACCTCATGATAACCTCTCTTGGGTAAATCCCTTCATTGTTTCTATCTGTAGATGTAAACATAATGCATTTCTCCATCAGAAAAAAATTGAGAACCTTTCACTACCAGAATGAATATTACAATTTATGCAGACCTATTTCAGTCCTGTTTCACTCAAACTTTGTTGCCAACTTGACCAAAGACAACACAGGAAACACTTGGGCTTTTATTATCAAATCTCATCTAAGCCCTGACAAAATAAGTATTTTATAAATAGTGTTCTTAGAATTGAATCCACCCTCCTTTGACTGCTTCCTGCCTGACAAGCTAACAATTGAATCATTTATATAATTTCTGTATTTTATCTGTATTCTATGTGTTGCTCTTTTTTCCCACTTCCTCTGAAAAGGCTTTCACAGGGCTATGCCCCATACCTGTGTACTCCCATCAAATGGGAAATAAAGAAAGAAAGAGGAAAAAAGACTTGTGAATGAAATTTATAGCTCCTTACCTATGAGCTTGATTTTCTAAGCAATTAATATAACATATGATTGAAAACTGCCTAAACCCAGTCCATCTGCATACAAATGGAACACTCATAATTAATCAAACTTCTGCTGAATAAGTCAGGGTTCATGTAAACCCACAAGTTCCAGGTTTTGTTAGTTTGTTAATTTCAATTCATAGTCCTCTTTTCTCTTACCTGCAACCATTTGCTTGGAAATGAAGAATATCTAGCCATGTTGGTAAACATCTCCATTTATACATCCAAATAATGACAAAAAATTTTTTTGAGCTAAGGATTCCAAGCATGCAATATGTTTTTGATTGCAATTATTTCCCTGAATGCCAGTAAAAAGGGCTTAATGGACTCCATAGGCTTATTGTAATTTCTCTCATGGGAGATATGCCTTCACCCCTTGATTGCACCATAAAAAAGTAAAATTTTGTATTAGTTCTTGAGTATATTGTCAGTATCACATCTGATTGCAATTGGACAAGGTTCAAGTTAGTGGATGACCCATACTGATACTTGATTCCCATTTCAGAGGGGGACACTTTTAACAGAACTGGAGATGAGAGGAAAAACGAAGAATCATCTGAGTGAAGAGGCAGTATTGGACATATTTAGTGAGATATGTGAGGGAGTCCAGGTTATGCATTCAGCCAAGCCAGAGCCCTTGGCACACAGGGACATGAAACCGGGTAACATACTTCTGGACCAGAGTTACCACCCAGTCATCATGGATTTGGGTTTGTCTTTACACTGCTAATATAAATCTATGGTATCATGAAGTGTTGGTACTTCATCTTAAATTTGCACTGAAAAATATTAGCTTTAACCCTAAACTGAACAATTTTTGGTCAAAGTGCAATGCAAGCAGTTATAGTCTGAATACTGTCTGAATTGACCACTGCCTTGAGATCATTATGACCCTAATTTCGTTCATTGGCACAAGAAATCCCAGATATGAATTGTTGCAGTTTAAATAATGTATAAACAACTGTAAAAATGTTTGTGCACAAGCTTACCATGAATTTCAATTAAATGTAGCAACACTGGCCCCATGCCCAATTATGTCTGGGGTCACATTGACTGGATGATGAGCCTTACAGGTTAACTGTGAAACTCAGTTGTACATTTTATGTTTAGGTTCAATGACAAATGCTGTGACTGAGGTCTCAGATGGCCGACAAGCACGGAGACTGCAGGATATGGCTGCTGAAACATCTACCATGCCCTATCGAGCACCTGAACTTTTCAGTGTTGACCTCCATTCTACAGTGGATCAAAGAACTGATATCTGGGTCAGTCATCCTTTAGATAGCATTTTTCTGTTCCAACATGATTTGAAAGTCAAAGTATTTTTTTAGTCCCTGGGCTGCCTCCTGTATGCCCTGTGCTTTTTTGAGGGACCCTTTGATGATGTGGTTAGACGAGGAGACAGTGTAGCACTGGCCACCGTCAGTGGAAACATCCGATTCCCCACTTCATCGCCTTATTCTAAGGTTTGTATTATACAGAGACTCCAGCTTCTGAATGACACTGATCCCTATCCCCTATGCTGATTTGAAGTCTCTCCTTTGCAAGGGCCTGCATGATCTCATCCTTTTGATGTTACGTGTTGACTGCCGAGAGAGACCTCACATTGGGAAAGTCCTGGACATTGTGAAGCGTTTGCAGGGAAAGGCGGTCTCTGAAGACAGAGCCAGTGGAAGTAGAACCCAGCAAGTATAGCAAATACAGAAAGTGGTGGACAGTCAATGGGTTTCCACTGTTCACTGCTACTCCCTTCAGCTTCCCTACAGCTGATATATACTATTAAAAAGAAACAGTTTTCTAGTGATTCCTTTCTTCCTTGTGGGCTGCCAACCAAACTGGTGATCATGGTGCTGAATTTTTCAACAACATGCCTGCTACATGTCTACCACCCATGCATTTCTTTCTCTGATCAGAAAGAGCACTTGAATGAGTTCTCACCTGATTTTTGGAACAGCAATGAGGAATAACCCTTCTTGGTAGATGTGTCTGATGGTGGTAGGGACTTTTACCTTCATTTCAAGTTGAAATGCATCTGTGATCTTGCACAAATATCAGGCAGTTTTTTGGTCAAAGACTGAGGAATATTCTTGTTTGTTATACATTGCTTTTCTTGGCCTATGCATGCCCAATGTATTTTATTACTACAGTATTACTATGAATTATGATACCTATTTCCTTTTTCTTTTGCTATTAAGCAATGAAGCTTTTATGTTACTCATGCATCTTACTTTTCTTTTCTAAATCCTGTCATAAATTGGAAATATATTATTTTAAAAATTGTCAAGTATCACAATTAATTTATATCAACACCCTGTGATGCGATATAGGCTGAGGGATTGACACTGCCTCTTTGCCTGATATTGTCATTCATGATTGCTTGAAGCTGGATGTAATTTATTTCAGGGTCTCTGTCCTTTGCACAAAGCATCCTGTATGCTGGGATAAATATTGTGAATTGATCCATTTTCTCAGCATGGTTCATTGTTAGACATCTCAGATGTGATGCTTTGCAGACTTGGGCAGACTGCCCCGTTGTCTATTAAACTTGTGATAAATCCTTCAATTAATGGAGGGATTTCTTCGTTTTTATTTTGGCATCTGTTGGCATGCAGGAACTAATGGTTGTGATTCCATCATGTATTTGTGATAAAATGATGTTCAACATCAGAAGTCATTCCCAGTGATGAGAGGTTGAAGTCCTGAAATGTGTTGTGAGAATTTTTGTTTAATGTGGTTTTTTAATTCAAGAAGCTGGAGGCAACTTTAAGGTATTTACATTTCCTAATATTTATATAGTAGCCTTGGTCCATCTGTGGTGCAGGCAATTATGAAAGGTATAAGTTGTCATTTTGTACTCTATGAAATGAGATGGCTTACCAAGCAGCCATACATCAATATTGTCAGTCAAATAGCACCATGCATTTTTACATTTCACCTCTAAGTTGGTTGAAAAATAAAAAATAATCCCAAGACTTTGCACCAGCTTTGTCTAGATTTTGTCTTTGCTGCCTGGAAAAAGTATTTTGCATTCTACTGGAGATAAAGTTAGTCATAAACAGAGAGCACAGTTATGCTTAATTTTTTTTGCTCTTTCAGGCATGAAAATCAAGCAGAGATCAACAATGTGTATATAAATTCTGCAATTGGGAGTAGTTCTTCACTTGCTTTGGTGCAAAGCAAATAGGTCTGATAACTTTTCTTTAATGAATAAGGAAGAATGGAATAGATATATAGAGATTTCCATTGAGGACATCACATGATCTGAGACACATTTTTCTGATGTTAAAGATATTAACCACTCCAGTGACATTTGGCAAATGAAGTACCTCTACAAATGGTCTATGCTGTTCATGGAAAAAGGACTCCTGAAAGTTTCTGTGTGACAATCCCTATGGTTTTATACAAGTTCTTTTCCTCATTCATGTCATGGCATGAAAATTAGAAGATATTTATATAAAGAATTTCTACATCAAGCTGAGCTGAATTGTTTTATTTTCTGGGTCTCAAGATCAAGAGAAACATCAGGAATCAGTAGTCTCACAAGGTTCTTCATCACTTTCACTTTTCAGTTCCAAATCCTCCATGGGTTCGATGACCTCATCATCAGAGTCTGGTGGCCCTCCAAGCTCTTTCAATAAATCTTCAGTATGCTGAACCATTTCACTGTCATCTGATCCTGTTTTCTTGTGAACCTGTTGAAGATATTGCCAGTGATGAAACTAAGTGGAAGTGTGTAAGAAAGTCATTTTCTGCACCCTTACACTGCACAAATAATAGGAGACTGACATAAGAAACTGAGGTAGGCAACTTGTTTGTTGTTCTTGTTCAATGTATTCCTCTCCAATCTTTTGGTAGGGGTCTACAGCTAGATGTAGGCAACCAAACTCTGTGCTCTCTTTCTTAACATCATTCTAAAGTTAGTTTTTTTCTGCTTCTCAATGACCTGTGTGAAACAATTATGACTGCCTTCTTGGTGATTGTGAGGAAAAATGAGTGGTGGACTGTATATGCATGAATGTGCACTTTCTGCCAATGAAGTCAGTGGTAATGAACTACATGGAATGTATTTGCACATATATAGTTCAACACTTGTTTTCCATCACCATTACCAAGAAGGCTGGCTATGATCATTTCACTCAGGTCACCTGAGAAGTGGAAAAAAAAAAAGCTTCAGAATGATGCTAAGAACACAGGTCAGTTGCATACTTCTACCTCTAGAAAGAGGTTTCTTGGCACCCAGTAAACTCTACTTAGCATCATAACAATGTAACCTCATGGCATTAGATTGGTTAAATACAAGAAACATAAACTTGGACCCAAGCCAAACCTGAGGCTGGTTCAGAAATAGGACAATAAGAAAGTTTGACCAAGGTGAGGCAAACAGCTGGAACACTATAATTTAAAATAAGCTTAACTCTTTTGTGAGCAGTGGGAAGTATTCTTCCCAGCAAAGTTCTGACCCTCCCAATGTCCTGGGAAGGCTTCCTCCCACTATATCACACTTGTATCATCTTCTGGTGACCAAGATAACTCAGTGAAAATTTTAGCTGGCATGAGACATGTAGGGAAGCCATTTGGAAGCAGATATGTAAGCATGTGACCTGTTCAGGCAACACTTAAAAAAGCAAAGTATTTCATAATTATGGGACAAAATTGGGTAAGAAAGCAATAAATGCTTCCTTTATTTTCTTTTACATCCTTTGAGACTATTTGTATGATGGGTCAGCTCTCAGCAATATACCAGTATTTATACTAATAGTTTATAATACCAAGAATTTACCTGTATATAGGCATATCCCTATGCACAGATGAAATTCTAGCTAATTAATTTACAGAATGTCTGGAATTTCTCAAAATGAAAGCCTCCATAAGTGGAAAAATAAAATGTACTGAATTTTTTCACTTGCATTTAAGAAAAAATTAGAACATGCAAGGGTTAACTTTAATTGTGTTTCTCCAACCAAGAACCAAAGCTAGCAATAATAGAAAGTTTTTAAAAATTTACCACATAGGGACAACAGGGAAGAGAGATTCTCTCATGGAAACTTCTTGGAAATTGGACACTGAAACCTTTGTTTAGATCCTCCATTCAAAAAATTGGACAGGAACAAGTTGAATAAGCCACTACACCATGTTGCAGAAATACAACTCAAGACAGTCAAGGTCCACAACTACAACCACAGTAAACTTGGGGGATTGCAAAAAAAGAATTGGTTTGGAGAATTTCTCAAGTCAATACTTTGTGTCTTTCAAGATTTTTGGCATTATACAGGGTGAGCCCCAAAAAAAAAAGTATCATTTTCGGTAAGTTGTCAATCTGATTGATTGCATGTGACAGATTTTGATGACATTTAGTATATAAATAGGATGACTCAATTAGGGTTTGTGTGCCAAGTTTCAAATAAAAATTCCAAAAACTGAGATTTGCATTTAATTTCATCACCAAAAAAGTAAGTGCTCACTATTTCGTTCAGCTTAAAAATTCTCACAAGAGACAAAAACAAACAGAACAAGAACAGATGCACAACACAGAACCATACAATTTGGTTAAGGGATGCAAATATCAACTGAAAAGATGCTCAATGTGCCCTCCATTCCCTTGAATGCAAGCCTCTAGTATGGGACACCACAGATCAATGGCTCGGTCAATAAACCTTTGAGGCAGTGCCTCACAATCTCCTTTTGTAGCATCATGCAGGGATGGAAGGTCAATGAAACAGACCTCCCTTTCATCCCTGCCTCAAGGTCATATAGATATTTTCAACAGCATTTTTTGTCATTGGTCATCAGAAAACAATTACAACTCCTATAATTTTAGAGCCAGATGGCTAAAATTTGGTATACAAACTCCAATGTGCCACCTTATAAGCCTACCAATTTTAATCAAAATTGGCAGCATACAAAGAGATTGACGACTCCTCAAAAATGATAGCTTTGTTTTTTTTTTTTGGTCCACCCTGTATGTTCCACTAGAGAGAACTGCTACATACAATTTACCTTAGTAAAGTAATCCTGATGACTTTCTCACTTTAAAAAGTGCCACACAGTGCTAAAAAAAAAAAAGAAGGTATTTATGATAATTCAATAACCCATCTTCCTCTCACATGTAAATTTGGTGCACACTTTGACCTAAGGGTATTGGAAGGGTAGAGGTTGTTTCATTCCATTATCACAATTCTTTGTTATACATATTCCCATTGCATTCAACTTTAATGTTTAAGGTGCTTTAAAATTAGAACTATGTAGTATAAATATATTATTCTGTATCATTTTATTTCTTTTTTCCATATGTTATTTGGCATGTTCAAAATGTCGATATTAAGTAGGGAATATAAAAATTGCAGACACCCTCAGCTGCCAAATGACCAAAGTAAAGGGCATTAAAAATCAGTGAGCAGTCAAAATGACTGCCCAGGTAGTTCTAAAGTTTTTTCAAAATATTTCTGAGCTAAAGAATACCATTGCCTGATGTTTTTCTACCCCTTAGAATTGCAATGTCATATTGTTCCATAAATTAACATGATAGCATTGAGTCAATAACTCAGAAATGTTTGGCAAAATAAAGAAGCCAATCATCAAGAAGTGATGCAGCTCTCAAAGAGTAAATTCTTGCCTGATTCCTTATTTTATTCCATCTGAATTTCCAAGAAACAAAGTATCCATTCTCTTCCCCTTCCCCAGAGGACCTTTTCAAACTTTCCCTACTCATTTGGAGGATCACTGGGAACTGGGTTAAAGTATGCAAGTAATTTAAATCTGAGATCCATTGCACCTTGTGAAATGTTGGAAAAAAATGAACACAAACATTTTGCCAATGCAGTGCATGTACAGCAAATACCATTAGATCATAGAGATGGATTTCAACTTATCTGAATATAAGAATTTCTATTTCTGGGTAAACTTTCCATTATGTCAACTTTTTTTTTGAAAGTCTACTATCATAGTCACAATCACAATACTCACTGCTACTTGAACATACCTGAATAGCCTGATGAAGATAGAATCTTGCATTGCTGTGAAACTCCTCTCCTCGTAGATAGTTCAACCATCCATGGAGATACCATGGGTCAATCACCTCATCATTTTCTTCGAGCAATCCATCTAGGATCTGGAAGTGAGGATCATAAAACCACCATTTTCCACTTCAGAAAATGTGAATAGAGCAAAAAATACCTCAGAAGCTTGATTCCACAAGCTGAGTTCAATGAGGAGCTTGGAAGTGGTGAGACGGGACTGGTAGGATAGAGGACAGAGTAGAACAGGGTCCTCTACAGTCTCACCTTCTCTGGCAGACATGTAGGATGGAAGCCACAATTCCAAACTCCTTTCCATAACTTTCTTGGCCCCCTGAGCATGGAAAACGTTGAACATTCATTCTCATTCATGAAGTGCCCAATTTCAGATGGATAAGAAGTAGGGCTGCTCATTTATCAAAATTCTCAAGAAATTTATTGTTGGCTGATTTATTGATTGAGCAGAAGTTTATTGATCCTTGATGCCTTCTTTGAATTTAACAAAGGAAGCATTTGGTACACATTCGCCAAATGAAAATGTTAGCATGTCATTCTTGACATAATGACATGAGAGCATTGCATATAGGTAGATGATACAAATTCTTGCCCCCTTAAGCTCTAAACTGCCCCCCTCGCGCATGTTTTGAAATTCTTTTTTTGGGGGATTTATACCAACCAAAAGGAAAATGCACACAATTTCCATTCACATTTTGAGACTTCTTTCATGTAATTTGGTTTATAAAGGCTGTTTGTATTTCATATTATGTTGAATTATGCAATGAGGGGGGGGAGCAGACTTTATAGGAGGGTTGAAATTTGTCTCACCTACCCTAACACCAAATAACCTGATTCTACTAATTCAATCATCAGTTTTAGGTTTTTGGCACTCGAAAGGCCTTGTAAACGGATTTTAAAAATGCATTTGTAGCTTGGTAGACCACATGACAAGGTAAATTTCAGTCTCTATTTATATTCAATGAATCATGAATAATATATTCTTACTGTAAATAAAAGTTAAATAATGTAAATGAAAAATTACTATAATTCAACTGGCAGCCCATATAATTAGGCACCTGGACATCTTCTTTCACCAACAGGAAATTTGCCTGGCATTGGAAAGCCTCAGGGTTCTGGTCATCAGCCTGAATGGCCTTCTCTATGAAGTCAGCACATTTTAATTCTGCATCATCAGCAAAACACAGGTCTGTCATGTAGGTCTCTGCACATGATATATATGCATTAGATACTTCTCGCCTCAAGGACTTTGTATCCTCCCCTCCTGATGCAGAAGCCTGAGGCTATAAGAAAAGATATTTAAGTCTTCATTTCAATCTTTGATATAAGCACTGTGATAATACATCTTAGTAAAAGAGGATTTACCTGTTCTTCAAGATGCTTGGAAATAAGTTCAATTCCTTTCAAATAGCATTGGAGGCTCTCCTCTCCATCAAGTAGCTGTCCCATGGATAGATACTTGGAATGGCCTTTTTCTGGATCTAAAGTGATGGCTCGACCCAAGCACTTCTTAGCACCTTCTGGGTCACCAACCTGGTAAACCGTGAGGGAATCATATATTCTAACAATTCTCATTTTTCAAAAGAAATATATTTAATCACACACCAATAATAATGAACTTGTCACCAAATATTTTCAGCCTGCAGAAATATTGATAATAAATATCACCAGATCACAATGAATCTTCACCTAATTCTTATTTTTGATTTCACCAAATATGACTCTAGTTGCCATGATTCCATCACGGGTACTGGTTTCACAAAATTTGCATTAGCCGCACCAAAAACATGCTCTCATCATCAAACTTATAACATTTTCAGCATTTGCATTCCTATCAAGGATAATACAAGGGGTAATTGGAAAAAAACATAACAACCAGCATCCTAAGTGTTTGTATTTATTGAAACCAAACAATACAGGTGGTACATAAGAGTGCTTACGGGGGTCTACTTTTCCACATTATCCTATTGGACGGTGAAGCAATTGTCCCATCAAGGTTTAAGATTTTCAATGGTGGCAGTGTAGAATTCCACGTCTTGGGCAGGCAGCCATTTTTTTTACCTCTTTCACCACCTCAGAATCCGACTGAAATGACAGCCACTGAGATGCTTTTTCATGAATGGAAACAGATGGAAATCGCTTGGTTGAAGATCAGAGCTGTAGGGTGGGGCGCTGAAGGATCCCCCCCACCCCATATTCTGTCACAGTATGTGGGGACGAATGTTACCATGGAACAGATACCCCCATTGTGTTAGACATCCTGGCCTTCACCAGATTGCTTCATGCTGGTGTTGCAGAGTTTCATAGAATCCATCAGCCTAATCAGTCTTCCTGAATTAGTCAGTCAACTTGAATTGCATTGTCGTCTGTTGATGAATCGCAAGGCTCTCCAATCATAAGGCACTGTTCTCCTTGTTCTTGTCGACTGTCGACACTCGTTCACCCACAAATTGTCTGTAATATATGGCGACCAGTTCTCTGGTTGGCATACCATTCCCATACACCTCCAATAGCTGGCAATGAATTTCTGCAGTGGAAGTGTACTTGGCCCACAAAAAAAGGATGATACCTCGAATTTCAATGCAGGACCAATTTTCCAAGCACATTGCCATTTCATGACTGCACTGCTCACCTGACATGAACAGTACAAGTGACACCTCGCAAATTTTTGCCAATTGCAACACCCCTAATATCCCTAATCACACAGCTATGCTACCCACCTCATGGTTATTTTGTAATAGACCTTGTAAACATTTTTTATGGTCAACCCTCATATTCTTATTTATTTCTGGTTAGTCCCATGATGGCAGTATAAGATTGCAAGATCATATCATGCTTTGGGGGACCTTCGGCAGAGGACCTGTGTGACTAGACTCCTTGTGGTTGTGAACATGTATGGGAGTTCAGTACAGCGCTGACTTCTAGTTTCTGTGTGCTCTACGTATTAGAGGTGCCATGGCAACTAAAGAGTTTGAGGACATAGTGGGAATGGAAAGGGGAACGGCATTCCCATCAGCTTTCCAAGAGGGAATGAGAATATCATTCCTATATTTCTTGCATTAAATTTAAAGAAATTATGACCAAAGCAATAAGCTTCTGCAATTAATGACAACCTGCTTAAAGCAGATAGGGATAATTATGAAAAAATAAAAAATAAAGAGCCCACCTACAGGTGGGAGGGATCACCCATTGTCCCTTCATTCTTGCCCCCTACTTCCACAGATCAACTTTCACCAATGAATAAAAGAAGAATAACTTAATAATAAAAAATGGCTGAACCTCCAGCAGAAGACTTGCAGTACATTCCAATGCTCTCAGGTTGTCTGGAGACATCTCAAGAGCCCTCTCACAGAATTTCTGAGCCACAGAATACTGGAAGGCATTGATTAGCTCCTCTGCCTAAAAACAAAGATGAGATCATGTTCAATGGGTGAGATTTTGAATTAAATACACATTTGACACTTTTTCCACTCCAGATCCATGTCAAACTTACAATTTGCAAGTCAAAATCCAGTCATCCAGCAATTCACAGTCCTGTCCAAATTTATTCAAGCCAAATAAAATTTTTTCCCATGCCATGTCAGTGATGACTGCAACAGTAGCCTTGAAATGTGTTTTTAAATTATGAAAATTATAATGAATAAAGATTGTTCACTCTTGAACAATCTTTATTCATGACCTTTAAGACATGACAAATTTCATTAGTTAGTAAAAATTTTTAGTAGCAAATGGGACGAGAAAGAGTGAAGATAAGGCAGGATAATATTAATCAGAATACAATATAGGACAAAGGTCTGGATGTCTTTACCTTGTCAAGAATTTCATCAACTGAATATTGTTTCTTAATCTCATTCGGCTCATGTGATGCCTTCTGAGGAATCTTTGGTTTGGTGTTTTTCATGCCTGGAGTTGTAGCTGCTGTAGAATCACTCCTTTCTACAGACATAATGACATAAAGGCAATTCATTATGGCCATTCCTGAAGTTGAAGGTTTTCATAACTGAGAAACCTGCAACTTCTCTTAGGATAGGTCTAGGAGCCCATAGGCCTAATGGTATACTATTAAATATAGGCAAACATTGTAAAACCTTTTACAATTCTTGGCCTACCTTCTTTCTCCACCATTCTGCCCTTGGTTCTAACTCGCTGCTTTCTTTTGCTCTTAACCATTTTCTGTCACCTAAAGAGAAACAAGTCACATATATGGGTGTCCCAAAAATCACACAACAAAAAACAGGGTGTTTCTAAATGTAGGGTTATGTGACTCTTAGGACACACTGTACTTAGGCCCTGTGAAATGATATATTCTCATACTCAGTCTTCTGTGGGGAGGGAAGATTAGGGGAATTTATCCCATCAGAGATGAAATGTGAGAAGGCATGACAGTATCCTTCACTTGAGTCAGGCAATTTTTCACTTGACTTGGACATTCATGCATATGTTCCTCAGGCAAGAGCATTGAAGCTGAGTGAAAAAATGTCTGACTCATGTGAAAAAAAACTGCTGCAAAGCAGGCAAGCTTTGACTGACCACATATTCCATTTGGGTCATGGTTAAGCATGTACTCCTAGGGAAATTATGTTACCCATAAAGTTAGGTAATGTTAGGTCAAAGTAAGGTCATGTTAGGTTGGTTATCTGTTGCAGAGATTTTCAGGCTCACAATATAACATCTTCAAACTAAACTCTTATCTTGGGGGTATGTCTTTGCCTAATTTCATTCAAAACTTCCACATGAGAAGGGAGATTTTTTCCATGGAAGGCCTTTTGCGCGATCACTTCTGCAAAATTCCACATCTTTCGCACCCCTTTGAAGTACTTAAACTAGGCCAAATTTATATAACGTTTCCGCGAACTTCGGGAATGTCCATCCACACCAGAGGACAAAACTATCCTTCCAATTATCGTTTTGGCGACGAAACAGAAGCAATAGATAACGCTCTCTACGATGAATAGGGTTAGTATATCCCAAATGCGCCTAGATCTACAGGGAATTCGAATCTCTTGCCTGCTCCCCTTTAAACTTTCCCATTGTAAGTCCTTTAGACTCTATCCGAAAAAAAGTACGGATTCAATTCAAAAGTTTAAAAAATCCTCCTGAATTCACTGAAACTATCGGCTCAATTTTGGCCTAAGCGTAGAAGACAACCGGGCACTGCACCCACGTGATTCTTCCTGTAGGCGGCCATAGGAAGACGATCCTGTCCGACCGACACCTCTGTGACATGACAACGTCTTTCGACAGGCTGCTCTTGATTTTTATTAACATTTCATCGAACACAACTATTCCTTAAATAGGAACTCCAATGAGTCCATCAGGGAGGTGCATGATATGACCTAATTGATCGATAGTAAGAGTTGTAGTGCGAAATAGTCATTTTTCATAGAAATCCTCATTGCGAAAACGGACTTCACAGTGCGAATGAAAAGAAAGTATCCCACTTCCGAACGCAATAACGCCTAAACTGTATTACATAACAGAGGTGCCCAAACTTCCTGACCTTACCAGCAGCATAACAAAATCTTCATATGACCGAGAGTCACAATACACAACCACGTTTTACACATGCATTCTCAAGCGCCAACACTCCAATTTTACACCATTGCTCCGCACCCAGCATTTCACCACCAGCTACCCTTGAACTGCTCAGGAGTAGCAATTTGATCACCCCTGTTTACATAGGATGGTGGCATCGCATACGTGTGACAAGTGATACATGGGAAATCAATTCTAGCACTTACCAAATGCGAGTTCCCCCTCCCCTGCTCACTACGCCACAACTTCCATCCATCTTTCCTTTAAAATTTCAAGGGCATCTGTTGCAACGCATTCCGTATGAAGAAGCCATGGTGAGGCCGATCCCGATGGCGGAAAAAATCTGTGTACTTCCTGCCAAGGAGTAGAACCTATCCAGGCTTCGTGACAAATTGTACTATCTCTGGAGGGAATTAGGGAGTTGAGCGGCCACCAAGCGGGTCACTCGGGGTGCCAATTGATTCAAGTCTCACTTTTTCTTAAGTGAGACGTTGAGTACATTTAATAACATATATGACGTTCATCCGAAACAAATACGTTTAATTTACAGCAGTTTATGTGGTATTCAATCAAAGGATGTGGAGTTCGCGGGCGTGAAATTGAGGCTGTCCCATACAAAACGTTACTCCCTCGTTCGTCCGAATTTCACCGCTTTTTCCCCTAATCCTTACCTGAAGGGTCTTCTGACAGGTTGAGAGAGGGAAAAACCGTTTTTTTTGCCTCAGTTTCACCATTCGAATTTTACTTCAGGGGTAAATTTTTTGTAAGGGGTGATCACCACCCAAGTAGCACGTAAGTGGTGGGGAGAGAGCTGGTGCCCCTGTGCATATCCCAATAGACTCAAAATCATGGAGCTCTAACGTACTTAAACCCTTTTACTGCTAAATTTTTCTGTTAGACATCCCTACGTCGAGTTTTTTTTTTTTTTGCTCCTGCTTCACCATGGTGTGCTCTACTTATACAAGAAAGTAACCCAATTATGTAAGTGAATAACTGAACTGGTACGGATTGTCTTGTCAAATTTCAGGTAAGACGCACCAAAAGGAAATGCCGCAAGAAGAGAGACACACTTCCGCGATCGGATTAAATTCGTTCATTGCACTAAAGGAGTTACGACTGCAATGCTGAGCATTGCTTCCCCCACGCATCTAGGAGACAAGAGAGGTTTAGGACAAGGATTTTAGGAGGAATTCAGGTCCTTTATTTTGACATTTATGCACTCGTTTTTTTTTAATTATTAATTGAAACCCTCTACACTTCTCTCTTCCCATTCCCTCAACATTTAATATTTTTCTAAATGATATATTGCTCCCAAAACATCATAATTCCACATTTTCCTATTACCTGTTCATAAATTGCATAGTAAAAAGAGGAAAGAGGAAAGGAAACACTTAGCTAAATCGGGAAGATATATTTTTTAAATTTCACTCGGAAGCTACATGGGAACATGGGTATCATCTAGTGGGGACTCATGGTAGTGCATTAGGATTATAGCATGTAGCTGCTATGGGGTGAGGGGGTGCCAGCTACATTATGGGAAGAGAGCTGGTGGTCAACGAACTCTAGTAGGTATCGGACCATCTGCAGCTTGTTCCACTTGCTGCCACCGACCCGCCACTTTCAGGAAACCAAGGGACCGATACATTCATCAGATACTGTAAGATATCCTTGGGGAGATGGCCCGCTGGCTGAGCCGGTGTTCCAACCTTCACGTTACCACCTCCGCCAGGAATCTGCCTGGTTAGCGCCTGAATCGCCTTCGTGCTACTTGAGCTACCAAGTGGTTCAGAATGGCTTTGTACTTATGGTCCTCGATACTATCACTTCTCCCAAAAAGAACGAATTTATTATTTTGCTAGATGAAGACAGAGTCTGGGCAAACCAGGGTGAAAGAAATTAGATGTCAAATTGTGTACGATATTTTACTCGCTCATACACAAGCTTACATCCAACTTTTTCTCAGTACCAAAAAAAATCCCTGAAAAATCCGAAAACCATAACAGTTGGAATTTTATCCCCAGTCCTGGAATTTTGAGGTGATTTGCATTTTCCATTGAGTAAAATTTTTCTAGTATTTAAGGAAAACCATCCAAACCTGATTCAGGTGCAGATACAGTATATGGGTGTATATATATGATGCATTTATATCATTTACTTCATGTTTGAGTGGTCTCGAGAACTGCTCCCAACTGATCCCCGTCCATGCCCAAGGTTTGGTCCGCAGACCAGTCTTACTCAAAAAATTTTTTGTGCAGCACACCTAGACAGAAGCCCCATTCTTGACTGTTCACCTCACATCCGTTGGCCGTAGCGTGCTGCTCTGACTTCCAGTATTCTCCTGCGACAATAACTTTTAGTATGTTCCGATACTTTTCACTTTAATTTATAATTGCTATCACGCATTAATTGATCCTTTAATTTCACCCCTAAATGGGCTGTCCCCTCCAGAAGTCAATTGTTCTGATCAACTGAAGCCTCGAGTGGTCGCTTGACGAGTGACAAAAACGGCGGCGGCAGTGTCTCCCTGCCACGCCCCGCCACCAGTAAAATCGGGTATATTGAAATGTACGGCGAGCGGTTTTCTCGCGTCGCACGCCGTGCCACGCCCCTCCACGCTACGCCATGCCATGCACTAGTGGAAAAATCCGAAGAATGCTGGAAGTGTCCTAGGACGAGTGCAGTTTCGTGAAGAAAACTTCACGGCACACCAGATGAGAAACACTGCCGTAGATTGATGCTAGTAGTCCCTCGGAGGCTAATTGCATCGTTGACAGTGTTTGTTAAAAACCTTGCAATTTCTCTTTTTTTCGCACAATAATTAGGCTGAAGTGAGGTCAGCAGAATCGCACAAAACGAAGCTACTATGCAAGATTTCGCTAGCATGTACGGTACGGTAGCCAACATCATGTCACTGCCCAAGCAGCATGTTTACGTGAACAAGATATCATTTCCTTGCAAACAATGTAAATTTATTGCGATTGCCATGAAAATGACATCACGTTCACGTAAAATTTACGTTCCTATATTTATGTCACCAAAGTGTACGTGTATTTTACATAAACTAGACGTCACTCCATTTGACGTGATGTACATGATATCAAGTTTATGCAAAATTAACGCCACACCATCCATATGAAACTTTACCTGACCATCCTGCAGCTGCAGTACCAAGATACCTCACTAGATGGAACCCTTGTTCCCTGCATCTGACAAATACTATTAAGTACTGGCTTTCCTGATAAAATATTAGATTTTCTTACCATCCTTCCACATTTTATTATGCAATCCATGATTATATATATGGAAATCATGCAATTATAATATATTTTTTATAACATATGACTCAGGGAATCATTAATTTTCCTGATAAAATATTAGATTTTCTTACCATCCTTCCACTTTTTATTATGCAATCCATGAATATATATATGGAAATCATGAAATTATAATATATTTTTTATAACATATGACTCAGGGAATCATTAAGTGCTGAAGTTAAGCTTTTTATTACAGCAGTGCACGGAATTAGGGAAGAGTAGAATCCTAGCTGTACAAGTACTAAATCTTCTCTACCCTAAATGGGAGGGCTCCTTGATAAATCTGCTCCTCCTCCCGAGGTTCCAGTATAAGAGGAAGTGGTAGGTTGTTTTGGTACTCTTGAGTGTTGATGAGGATGAGTGTAATCATCCAACCAATCTTGAGTTGGAAGTATGGAAAGGAATGGGAGATACAGTATATCAATTCCTTTCAAAGGTGCTGATTGCCTCGTTAAAGACACATGAATGCTAGAGGGAAGTTAACATAAATCTTGCGTAAAATCAACGTAAAAATACTGTTGGGAATGCAAACGGTCATGTCAATTTTACGTAAAATTGATGTTAATTTTATGTCACTGTTTACGTATCACAGAGGTGACATTTATGCAAACATGTTGGCATTATATTGACAATGGTTTGCGTGAAAATGATATGAATTGGACAAAAAATGTACATTCAATTTACGTAAAATTAACATAAACATGCTGTTTGGGATTGGTTCAGAATTCACTAAACTAATATCCGCTTCTGAAGATATTGGTTCTGTATTCATTATCAACAAAGCCATCAGCAACCAGGGACAGTAGGCTGGACTGGTAACACCAACAGCATTTGCACATGTCTTTTCTCTCCAGTGCTTCGATACATTAATACTATTCACATTCAATATAATCTAATCATCTGAGCAGTTGAGCATTTCATTGTCCTGAGACCTATAAATGCGAGGGAAAAAGTGGAATTGTGTCGTTACTTTCAGCCGCATTCGGCTGAAAGTCAGCAAAACATCGCGAATCATTTTTCAAAGCTGTGTTGTTTTCGTTCTCCATTGGCAGCATGAATGAATTAAAATGGATTTTTTTTGCTAATTCTACTTTAAATTGAATTATTTCGGAAATTTTCCGTTTTTAACCCCACGCTTTTCGATTTAGCGCCACCATCGATATAACGCCAAAATAGGCGAAGACCAACAGTGGCAGTATATCGTAAGTTAACTTCATCAAGAGTTGACGCTTGGTACTTCTAGTGTTAACGCCATCTACAGCAAGTGGAGGGTTTTCCACACCTAATGAATTGTGAACAGGTCGAGTCTGAAATAAGGAAGAACATTCTTCCTATCTCTGAAATAGGAAAAGCCCATCGTACTATGCAATCATCTTCATGCCCCATTTGAAACCTTTCCAAGTACTCTGTGCCCGATAGTGAAGCAGGGGATTCTCTCAAACATGTCAAAGAACGACATTGCCTTTAATCAGAGAGCCCATGGGTTGCCATGGTTACCATAACAATCAATCAAGTCCATGAATCAAGTACATGATTGTTGCTCACATCAAATGGCTGACAATTTTTTCAGAAAAAAAGATCGAATAATAGGCAGAAAATAATTTATAACTCAAATAGTAAAGAGAAATGCCGCTCTTAATCTCCAAAAATTTCATCTAAGTGATGTAGTGATACCAGATTTCCATCTCATGCCATTGAACATGAAGGTACTTGATTTCCTCAACCATTTCTGTTTGGTACTAACGCACAAGTGAAGGTAAAGTGAAAAGTGATGATGCAGTTCGATCCCATGGAAATAATTAAATAGCTAATTAAACTAATGGCAGGTAAAACTGGAGGAAAGGAAATACTCTGTTGTGGAAGGAATCAACATGATCATCAGAGATCACCTCCCAAAAACCAAATGCCTTTGATTTTTTTTTTACTTTTGGCTTTTCCCCAAAATCAAAGAGCCCTTGCATGGAAGAGTGTTTCACACCCGAAATAATGTCACTGAAGTTGCCAAAAGAGAGCTGGGAAAGTTCAAAAGAGATTCTGTGGAGTGCATCCAAAAATGTCTGCACAGCCTCAGGAAATGAATTCAAGTTGGTGATGA